AGAAAATCCCTGGATTTAATAATCTTGCCTCCAAGTTTTCAAGCTAATTTTAAGAGCACATGCTTTGCGTGTTGCTATGAGGGTGTGTGGGCACACACAACTTCCATATCCCAAGCAAACAAGAACATCAATCTGTAGTGTGAGGGGATCTAAAAATCAATGAAACAAGTACAGAATGTTTTTTTGGTATTAAAAGGCAACCCAGCAGCACCATGGAGGCCTTGGAGGAGGGCATGCGATGGGGCAGTGTATAGCCGTGGAAGGGGAAAGGAGACTCAGGCCAAGGCAGATGGCAGCGAGGGCTGGAGGTCGAAGTAGCCTAAGGCTCTGGCGTAGCCAGGAGGCAAGGTGCACCGAGGAAAGCAGGCCGGGAGACTGGAGAGGACAGATGGGAAGGAGTATGGGCCGCCAAGTGAGGGAATCTGCACTTCGTCTAACAGGCACGACCATGAGGGAGTAATGTGAGCTGCCAAGCAACCATGACACTCAGGGATGGGTGACTTGTGTGCAGTTAGGGGCTTTGTGACCACTCAGACACAGAAGAGGATGCTGAACACCGGGTGGGAAGGTGGGACCGAGTCAGGAGGTAGTCCTGACGTAGCAAAGAAACATTCTTTGAGGGTGCGTGTGTGTGCAAAAGAGTAATTTGTTTCTACGTTGAAATGCTAGCGATAAAGTGCAGTGGAACCTCCTGCAATTTGTTGGTTTCCTAGGGAAATTAGAGCATTCAGAGGACAAAAACTAATTAATTAGAAAAGGTTATCAGGACATGGAGCTTTATTTAAAAAGAAAAGATCTCTCAACCAAGGACTATATAGTTGGTACGGGACCAAGATCACAATCTTGAAGTTGGGGATAGTTTTAGTACATTATCTGTGTTTTCCTTTCCCCAGCCAATTTCAAGATTACTTTCCTTTTGGTCGAAAAAATGATGATGATAATCTTGGTGAGATGAAATGTGGCAAGGGAAGCATTTTAACATGTAATCGATCTGCCATAGTTACCTTGCAAACAAACTTATTTTTCCTGTCAAATTTAATCATTCCAAATGTTGGAGGAGTAATCAAAAACCCCGGAACATATTTTACATCTATCTTATCTATCTATCTTATCTATCTATCTATCTATCTATCTATCTATCTATCTATCTATCTATCTATGTTAAAATAGTTTACTCTGGTTGCTTGAACTCCGATGCATTGCCAACTTGAAAGGCTATGCTTAGGGTGCACTCTTTTTTAATAAATCGAACCAATACTGAGCAACAACCTCATGCAACTACAATAACAGCAATAGCCTTGAACTGTTCATGGAATTTAGATAATTTACTTGAGCTCTAAGCAGAGAGAAACAGCTCAAGGACCCACATTTTTAGTGCTTAGACCAATGATTTAAGAAGGGGGCAAAATGAACGTGCACACCATCCTTCAAACTGTAAGGGGGACCTTTTTTTGGGAGGCACTTGGACCCATGAATCGGAATCACCACATGATCATCTTCTGACATGAGGGCAACGTCAAACATTCCTGCAAGACATGAGTGTGTGAAGCCACCCGTGTGAAAGGAGGAAGAACCCCATCTCCTCCCTGGGGAGGGTCAAGTATCTTGGAACTGTTTTGAGAAAAGCAGCTAAGTGCAGATGACAAAGACAGAAAGGGCTGCCCAAGGAGAGTGGAGCACAACACTGCCCACAGGGGCAGAGGAGATCTCAGTCGTCTCACATTTTCCCTTGAACAAAGTCTTCCTTACGCTAGGACAGAATGGCACTGGGCAGATTTCTAGATTTCTGGGCTTCAGTTGCAGGCAGTAAAAAACAAGTGATACTAAACAGAAATACATTCCTGGGCAATAAATGAGGAAAGAAGGAAGAGGACTAAGTATGGCTTCTCTGTTGTGAAAGAGTACTCAGTTGTCACAGCACCCATTTCTCCTAAAATCTTATTTTCACTGCTTCAAGTGTAAGAGCACAAACCTTTTTGGCAATCAACACAAAACTGTCTACTTCTTTTTTTTTAATATTTATTTACTTATTCATGAAAGACACAGACCAAGAGAGAGAGGCAGAGACACAGGCAGAGGAAGAAGCAGGCTCCCTGCAGGGATCAGGGATCCTGGGATCAGACCTGAACTGAAGGCAGGTGCCCAACTGCTGAGCCACCCAGGCATCCCCCAAAAATGTCTACTTCTTGATATCGCTGTCTGTTCCTCATTCATCCCCCAGACCTCAATGAGATACTGGGTATCATCTAGGATTTTACTTTACTGAGTTGTATATACCCTATGCAGACGCTATCTGCATGTATACTGTGGACATAAGTGCTCTAGGTACCCCCGCAGCACACGCATATGTGTATCTGTAATTTGCTTTCATGTAACATTAACGACACCCCCACACACACCACGTGCATGCACTTTGTCGTCCCCAAAGCCTGAAAAATACTGACTTAAAAAGCGTTCTGCATTCTATTGTTTTCAAGCTTAGAAAAAGTTATGGTAATAATGTTAAAATTTTCTACTTATAAAAATTGGGTCTTTTATGGTTTTTAAAGTACTTGAGTCTGATTTTAAATGGGAAGTTGACTTTAAAATGTCGGATTATAAATAAGCTTCTCAAATGTGTCTTGATGGTTGTAACCACTTTTGACCCTGTAGTTCTAGGATGGGGGGAGGGACCAAAGGACCCCCTTTCCTCCTCTGGTTATATGATTTAGAGTGACAACGGACCAAATCATTTTTATTTTAGTGCTTAAGTACTAAAATCAATAAGGGAATTAAGACCTTTATTACACTAGTTTATAAATTATTACTTCAGAGTATGGACTTAAACCAAACTCCAGCTTGAACATATCTTTAATAAGCCCAAACTTTCCAGAATAAGTCTTTCTAAATATTATCTTTGCTGGGTGTTAAGAGTAACTAAGACAACTCCTCTGGATGACTTATTTAGCTTTAACTTTAACCTCAAAAATTCTATTACTCCCATGGTGATGAGAAAGAGGGAGAGTGTCTGTGTGTGTGAGAGAGTATGTGAACGAGAGGGAGAGCAGAGAGAGAGGGAGGGATGGAAAGGAGAAATAAACTTCTGTCGAGTTCTTATAAATTGTCTCTTCAAATCATAAAATTAAAATTTTAAAAAGGCAGGGGAAGGGAGGAAGCATAAATTAAGAAAGAACGTAGCCACAAAAATGCTTGGGCTAGTTATCAACCAGCCAGTTAACTCAGGCTTCACAAGGGTTTCACTCTTCAGATTTTATGAAGTTGGTATTAGAGATATTTCTTGGACTGTCAAGGAATAGCATGTGATTTCATGTTTTTACAGTGGTCTAACCTATTTTGGTTCATATGGAGAAGGAAAGGCTTCACTTGCGAGACTTTTCAAGTGATGAAGCTGCAGGAATGGTCAGGTTTCGCACTATCTGCCCGGTGACTGGGAGAACCAGGGAGCGCCCATTAACCCTGGCCATAACGACAAGGAGGGAGATGGGACGTGCACGGTGGAGGGGCAGAGTCAATGGCAAGCAAGAAATGCAAGCAGTAAACCCACAGTTCTAATACCAATCCTGAGACTTATTAAAATATCTCCCAAGGCACAGTTTATAAGTTGCACCGACCAAGAAGCCTTGGACTCTAAGGGAGAAACACTACCCTCCCCATTCTGCTTTCTTACTCTTACGGGCAGAAGTACAGAATTACTCCGTGGTTAAGACTGTAGGAGAAACGATGTTTGGTGACTGGTTCTATGAATGGTTTCTGTGCAGAGAATTACAAGTTTTAAAGAAAGGCATTACAAGGAGTTTTAAACTCATCTTTCAATTGTTCGATTGAATTAAAAAAAATTCTCAGTTATAACTATGAAGGAAAAAAAACAAAAATAGGGCTTTCTGTCCTCGTGAACTTGTACTTTGGGTTAATGAATAGAATTGTGGCTCCTACCGGAGGATCACCCTGCAATACAAAAATGAAAGGAAATTACTTTTTAAGTATCCAATGTTATATATGCACACGGTGACTGTAAAAGCAGGGCTTAGCTGATCCTTCAAAAATTTCTCTGACCAGTCAGAAACACTGTTTGGTGCAGGAGGACATTGGGCACCCCTAAAGTTAAGCAACATCCCCAGACTGGAGGAAGAATAGGAGAGCAAGTGTCCACAGCCCAAAGCCCCCATGCTCTTTCCCACACACTGGACATCCCACATTTAATATTTAATGATGTGATCTTACTACCAAAGACATAGGTATCTATGCCCACAGCAGTGGAATTAGCTTCTTCACTCCCTTGTGTTGAGTTGGCATTGCCCACACACCCAGCATGTGAAGTGATGAAGGTCCTAGTGCAGGATTATGACTTTGCCTGGCACCTGACGTGATGAACTTGTGAAAACTCATACATGTTAGGAAGACTTAATGGGTCCCATGTGTGATGAACAAGCTAAAAGCCAAGCAGAGGCGCCCGCAGAACACGGGACTGAGTGATGCTGTGAGTGATGGGGTAATCCAACGGTGAGCCATTTCTCATACTCTATCTTAGGCTTCCCAAGTCTCTGTTTCAAGAAACTACGAGTCTAGAATGTGAGAGAAACAGTGATGCTTCTTAGAATCAAATTTTCCTGTTCTGCTGAACGTGGACAGACCTGCAGCTTGACATGCCTGCTGACAGCACCACCCTCTGCCCACCTCTGAGCTGGGGCCTCACTGCCTCCCCTGCTGGCCAAGGTGTGGCCTTCTAGAGGTGACCAAAAAAAAACCATCACTCTGTCCTGCACATGATGTGACTAAGCTGCCAGATTTTAAGTCAACATAAAATCACACTGCATTGTACTGCTAGTGAGAAAACCAACCAACCAATCAACTAACCAATCAACCAACCAACCAACCAACCAGCAAGATTAGAGCAAGGCACAGGTCTTCCAAAAAGATTTTTTTAAAGGAAAGGGAAAATACTGAGGGATGAGGTTTTTGATCATTTGTCCACTGTGTTTCTGATACATGTTATCTTCCAGCTTGAGAATTACATACAGGACAACATGAAGAAAGAGATGGTAGAGATGCAACAGAATGCAGTACAGAACCAGACTGCCGTGATGATAGAAATTGGAACAAACCTACTAAATCAAACAGCAGAGCAAACACGGAAGTTAACAGATGTCGAAGCACAAGTAAGCACTAAAACAAAACGTGTAATGGTAGCTAGACTAGCTACTAGCAAGAAATTGGGCCACATGGTTACCTGATTCAATAGTGGGAAAATGAAGAAACTGTGAAGGTAGCAGGAAAAAAATGATATGAAAATAAAAATTTGTAGTTAGATAAGAATTTAAAATAAGGAAACATATTTTCATCTTTTTTTAAGATTTATTTATTTATTTTAGAGAGGGAGGTGGCAGGGGAGGGCAGAGGTGAGGGAAAAGGGAGAGAGAGAGAGAGAGAGAGAAAGAGAGAGAATCCCAAGCAGACTCATCACTGAGCATAAAACCAGACATGGGGCTCCATTCCATGACCCTGAGATCATGACCTGAGTGGAAATCAAGAGTCAGACATTCAACTGACTGAGCCACCCAGGTGGCTGTTTTCATCTTTAATACTGAGGTTAAATTATATCTTTTCTACTAAAGACCTGTGAGTCATTTCATATGATGCATACTTGACAGCTACATGATAAGTGCCCCTCTGCCTCACTGGGTATCTTCTGGATAAGTTCTTAACTGTTTCATGCATTTGAGAAATGAAAGGCACCGAAGCAGAGTGTAAGAAACTTTGTTCTTCAATCTAACTTTTAAGATACAACCAAATCTCAAAGAACTGTGAAAATAATTTGTGGCATAAGTTTATAGACAAAGTGGCAAAGAGTTTACAAGCAGCAGTGGTCGTGGCACCGAGGGCTTACCCATCTGCAGAAGGCCTCAAGTTCCCTGATGGCTCGAGCCCCGCCATCAACGGGGTGAGTGAATCTGAGCAAGGCACCCGCTTCTGTGGACCTCGGGGGTTTTAACTATAAAGTGAGGGCTGGGTCTTAGACTGGCTGCACCCTTTTAGCTCGCAGATTTTATGAGCTGCTGATTAACAGCAGTAGGAGAGAGGAATATGAAGATAACAAAATGATAACACCAAGACATTAAACATCAAAACGAAATTCATCAAGTCATACCAAATGACACACAACCTGTGACTGAGTAAGAATAGTCCACTGGGACAGAGTGGGTGGGGATGAGAGTGCGGGACACCCGGGGGGCTCAGTTGGTGAAGCATCTGCCTTTGGCTCAGGTCATGATCCCAGGGTCCTGGGATCGAGTTCCACATGGGGCCCACTACTCAGTGGGAAGTCTGCTCTTCCCTCCTCTGGACCCCTCCCTCCATCCATGCTGCCTCTCTCTCATAAATAAATAAAAACTTAAAAGAAAAAAAAAAAAGAATACTCCAGGTGAGAAAAAGGACTATGGGTGGAATTTATTAAGATGCTCCAAATTCAAGTCTCTTCATTGTTGAATCTGCATTCTGATTCCTAACTCTGGCTTCTTTATAGGTTTATGAAGTCAGTACCTCCCTGAGTTGTAAGTAATGCTTAAAAAGAGAGAAAGAAAGATTTAATAGAAATAACTTCTGCAACGTATTATTCCTATATGCTACTTCAGCTAAAAGAAATGTTAGACATGAACAGAAGGGGATATGATGTAAGGGAAACAACAAGCCTCCCAGCTGTAATAAGATCACATCTAGGATGGTACAAGTGTTCTTACACTGTCTCCCTAAGAACTGCTGGATAAAGTAGGGGAAAACATGAGGAAAGTGGTAGGAGAATAAAGGATTTTTATCTGAGGACAGAATAAGAATTTACTTCTTGAGAGATCTTTCCATAATATTAGAACAATGTAGGAAAAATATAGCTGTATTACATGATGGATCACAAGATATGAAAACTGTAATCCCAAAAGGTAATAAAAGCTAAAAACAAAAAGATAAAAATTTTAAAGTAAATGTATCAATATATTCACAGTTAATCATTAAAATAAATCATAACGCTCAACTCACATCCCTTGCCTGTTGACAGCAAAACTGGTGGGGAAATCGAGCTCATCCAAAAAATGTCTGGGGAGTGTAACATTTCTTATATCTTCAGGCAGTGGAAATAAAGTGTAAGACATAAGGCAATGCTGTGTGAGGCAGGCTTTTTTTTTTATTGAGCTTTGGGTCACATGATTTTTAAAAAAAAATCTATTGTGAAACTAGGTTCAGATGATCCATGATAAGAGGAAAATCAGGAGATGACTGAGAAGAAAACAGCCTATAATATCCAACTAAACATTAAAATGGCTGAACCTACGGATGTCAAGGGACTGAATTACGCACCAAACCTAATACGGCACTGCTGAGCAATTACTGTGTGAAATGGGTTTAAATCCAAACACAACATTTTCTGATTAGAAGATTCCTATATCCTGTGAGAGTGAGAGGCTATTCAAACAGACAATGAGACATAGGTGGAGGTCTGAGAGCTTAGAGGCAACAGGCAACCACCTGACCTGGATAATTTAGGCAGTCACCTGCAGCTGGGGGGCTCTGGGAAAGTGATGAAAACCTCACCATTGATGCTGGGTCAGTCGGGACCTACATGTCATCCTCCCCACCTCTGGCCCACTGTGCTCATTTTATGGCCCTTAGGAATTGAATAAAAGACCCAAGTAGCCAGTTCCCTTTAGGAATAACCAATATAGAGTATTTGGGCCCAAAGGAGATGTAGGCCCAATCCTTAGTCCAGGTGTTAATACTAAAACCCAACCTTTCTGCTGGCCAATGCCTTCACTCATTCATAAGAATGTTCATGGTGTGAACTCCTCCTGCGTTGACTAAGGACAGGGCTATTCTGAAAGCTACTTGGTGGGACCCAGCCAAGCCTTTTATGAATGACACCAACCCTGAGCAAACAATGGTTCTTTCAAGGACCCTTATTCTTGGGCAACAATTCTGCCTTAAGCTTACACGTGATGTCACATCCTGAATAACCATGACCCAGAGGATGTGAGTAACAGACTCTTCCTGCTAGAAGGCAGCCAAACGCCAAGGAATTCATCCTCAAAGTTGTTAGAACACAATGGGAACAGAGATATTGCATATGGCGTAGGCCAGAGAGGCCCATGGAGCAACACTGAGCTCCTACTTCATATTGATGTATTATTGTTTCCTATTCGGTTAATATTTTTTAAATCAAAAAAAGAGAAACAGAAAACAAAAAGCTAAACGTGAATACAAACTAGGAAATTTCAGGTTAAAAATGAGCTATAGTTTTATAGAATGAAAGCATGTGACTTCTAATCATGTCGTCTACTGATAAATAAGAGAAGATTTAGTTTTGAGCAGAACCAAGAACCTTTTCCATTTACCAACAACTTCTGATGTATTAAATATGACCATTTATATGCCCACTTGTCTCACTGTGTGAAAAGAAAGGCTGAAACATGGCAAAACGAGAAGAACAGCATTATATTATTTGACACAAATACCACTGTCCAGAACTACTAAACATTTTCCAAAAAAAGACACGGTGAAAAAAAAAAACCCACATTCTGATGCAATCCAGGACTACAAGCGCTTTCCGAAAATGAAGAATATGCCAAAATAAGATACTTGGGTACATAAAAAAATGCTTTAGTTATGCTTTCCTATAATTTAGCTGACTTAATTAAAAGGAAGTTATATGTAACTTTAAAAATGACAAATGGGAATTTTATTTTGTTACATTTAGGTATTAAATCAGACAACAAGACTTGAACTTCAGCTTCTGGAACATTCCCTTTCCACCAACAAATTGGAAAAACAGATTTTGGATCAGACCAGTGAAATAAACAAATTGCAAGATAAGAACAGGTAATAAAAACACACAAAAAATCTGTAATTCAGAATTTCACACTTTCTGGATCTGAAAGCCTATTTCATGTGACTATTAATTGTAAGCATGGCTTCCAGAATGTCAGATTTCTTAATATGTAGTGTCAGGATCAGACACCTCAGAAAGGTCGAGAGTGGGTATGGGAAGAAATATGGAAGTGGCTATGCCTTCTAACCCAGTCTTCCATTTTTTCATCTTCTGGCCCCTTAAAGAGTCTCTCTTCCAGTGAGTTCCCCAAACTCACCTCAGTACTGCACAAATTAACCTATGACAAAATAACGCCAGTATCATGGAGTAAAAGTAACACTGGCCTAGGCATTTTAATAGTTCTTCACCTCTGGGAACTTCGTTGTTTCCAATGCAGAATGATCCACAGCCAGAAAACTACCTTTAAACTGTAAACAATGCGCATGTCATGATACAATGGTTACTCTTAAGAATATGGTCAAGTAAAAACAGAAGTTAATAATAAATATATTGTTCATATTTGAATAAGATCTAGAAAAATCGGGGATCCCTGGGTGGCGCAGCAGTTTAGCGCCTGCCTTTGGCCCAGGGCGCGATCTGGAGACCCGGGATCGAATCCCACGTCGGGTTCCCGGTGCATGGGGCCTGCTTCTACCTCTGCCTGTGTCTCTGCCTCTCTCTCTCTCTCTCTCTCTCTCTGTGACTATCATAAATAAATAAAAATTAAAAAAAAAAAGATCTAGGAAAATCCCAAGAAAACCAATACAACAACAGGTTGAGGTGATTGGTGGGGATTTTCAAAGGCTTATTGCAGTTGAGGATGTTATGAGGCTAAGTGTGCTTATTCACCTGTTTCTAACCAAGACTGCTGTATGTGTGACACGGAGAATGGTACTGTATTTCACAGCTACATAATTTCTTACATAATTCTTTATTCTCAACCAAAAAAAACAACAAACTTCTTGTCTTAAACTTACTATCTTACAATCATTGTTTCCTGTTAATTGGGAACTCAGCTGAAATAATTCTTTCTGTTCTTTGGGTAACAAGTTTAACTCATGACTGAGGGTTTTGAAAAGCAAATAGATTTTTTTTTTTAATGATAGTCAGAGAGAGAGAGAGAGAGAGAGAGAGAGAGAGAGAGAGAGAGAGAGGCAGAGACACAGGCAGAGGGAGAAGCAGGCTCCATGCACCGGGAGCCCGACGTGGGATTCGATCCCGGGTCTCCAGGATCGCGCCCTGGGCCAAAGGCAGGCGCTAAACCGCTGCGCCACCCAGGGATCCCTGCAAATAGATTTTTTAATTCAAGTATTTTTCTTTAGGTTTCAATTTTTTTTCTTCTGCAGAGTAGTAAATAAAAGTTTGAGACCAAAATTGAGATGCAACAATCTCTCCAATTTCATTTTCTTCAGATGGTTTTATTTAATAATGTTCTATTATTTAATGATGTCGCAGTAATGGGAAGATACGGGGGCTGAATGACTACTTTAGTTGCTTGCCAGAACAATACTGTCTGGGCCATGTCCAGTTTGTTGAATGCAGCCTGGAACTGAAAACTGTTCCTTCCTTACATTTCTAATTTCATATGCTGATATTATTGATATTAACACTGATATTATTCATTAAGTAAGTCAGTTTTGTTACCGGAGTATCATCTTTGTAAATAATCGCCAAATCATATTGCCTCTTGCCTAGAGAAGTATAAATCTTATTCTCAAGTTTAGATACACTGCTTAATGTTCTCACTTACTACAAGTAAACTTTGTTATACTCAGTCAGTTGGAATTGCTTTGAAATACAACCAACAACTTTCCCTACATCTTTTGATCATCCATGATAGGGCGAAATTTCTTTGTATGTTAAAGCTGGACAATGTATAAAACAGTAATTCCACCCATCCTGAAGCTTGCTGTATTTTCCGGCTACTCTTGCATATGTGGTCTTTCACATTTTTTTTTTTCACTTAAATCTTTCACATTTTCCCCCAGTTTAATCTGGGGAATTTTCACAATTTCACACAATTTTCCAATACTGTGTATCTAGTTTTATAGGATACTCAATTTAAACAATACATTTCTACCATAAAACCACCTTGTCAAACGTACCTAACAAACTACAGTTTTACGTAACTTACAACAGCAGTGCGGGTCAACTTGAATGGCAAATATCTCACTCAGACACCAGACTTGTAAATGGACTGTTTCTGAATGACCTGCCAAAGTACAGACCCTGAAAGGGATAGCTTTTTATCAATGGCCTTGTCCTAAAAACCACACATAACAAATCTATACCTGCAGGAAGAATAGTCTTTTTAGCAGCTGCAGAAGCCACAATCTCTTTTTCACAAATATGAAATGAAGTGACGATAACAAGATTTCCATCAATGAGTGTAAATAAATAAAAATGTGAAAACTGTACAGATGATTTTTTCGTCCCTCAGTGACTTTGGCCTACTGTGTTTTCAGGTGCCTTACATTGTTACTAGCCTAGGATTTCATTTGCAAGGACATCAGTAAACATATATGTGAATGTTTTGCACATGTGACAAACTATACCTTTAAATTACCTTCAATATTTCCCCCAAAGTGCAACTGTTTTCATTACAGAATAGTTTCCAATGAAATCAGAGTACTTATTAGGGTCGTTTTTCTAAAAATTGACACTGTAATATTTTTAGGGTCACCAGCAGAAGGTGAAAATTACTATGTGTTTTTCATCTTATCATTCTTTTTTTTTCCTTTTAAAAATAAATGATTCATTTAAGGGCTACTTGTACCAGTTCAATTAAATTGTGATTATTGTTACAGAGATTATTATTATGGAAAAGTACTACATTGATACTCTTCCCTTCTGAAGAACCTTAGTTATTTCTGCCCATACAGGATACATCCTCACATTTCTCAACTGACCATGACCTATGTTAATAAAAAGGTAACCTGCACCTAAGTCCAACTTTTATGGTGCTGATCAAATTGATTATCCTATATCAGAAAATCAAGTGCCATGCTAACGAGTGAGCTGTCAAACAACGTGTGCATACCCCATGCTGCTCCATCTCCTTTCTTCCACCACTCATCACTCTCAACCATGGTTATTTGTTACAATGTGCCAAGTCCTTGCTAAGAATTTACACCCATATTTCATTTATTTTACCCTATTTAATTAATTTTCTCTCATTTAAAAAATGTTGATTGTCACTCATTAAATGGATTTCCCAAGCCAGTAATGGGTCCCAATCTGCATTTTGCAAAATGATTCCCTAGAATATGTGTGATCTGAGACTCCTTATAGCTTTAAATGCAATGCTATGTGCTTCTGTACTCATCACATGGTACTGCTCTCAGAGCCAGCATGCTTCGGGGTGACCTGATCCTGAGCTAAACTCTCCAATACATGTTTGTATTTAATCTTAATGTTAACTATTTTAGATCAAGATCCAACTACCCTCTGGAGCTATACTGGTATAGGTTTGAAACTTTTTTTTTTTTAAATAAATATCCCTTCTGGAGTGTTCACACACTGGACCATGGGATCAACCCATCTTTCTTTTATGCCTCCTCACAGAATATTAGAGACCATGAAAGACAGCTGGATAACAAATTTCAGCAATGTCACTTTGAAGACAGTATAGATTAATAATTTAAAAATGTCCCTTTTTTACGTTGTCTAGGTCAAGCATCACAGGGTGCTTCCAAAGTGTATTGCCTGTACGCGCTTGTACTAGAAATGATTTTAGGTAGAAAATAGAAAAACTTTATGCATCTATGACACAGGTTACATAGGGATTCATGCACGGATATGAGGCTCTCAGCCTGGGTTTTCCACTCATCTTTCCACCTGCCCACGTGTGTTCCCAACACTGAGGCTGCCTTCTCTTTGCCCACAGTCTCCTACAGCAAAACCACAGTCTTCAAGGGCACTCCATGTGATAACTCCTAATTACAAGCCTTAATTTTTACCAGCAAATTCTATACTCATATCTATGTCATACCTATTTATCTACTGTTCTTGGCAAGTTTGAGAGCTTCTTTAAGGCTGTGGCCACTCCTTTAACATTTTCACAGAGTGTCTTGGAGAAACAGAAATTCAATAAATATTAAAAATTACATAAGAATTATGAAACTGACTCAATGTCTACAAAGCAAAGCAATCAGAAAACCTTTCACTAAACTAACAATTATTTCCCTTTTCAAGTTTCCTGGAAAAGAAAGTACTAGACATGGAAGACAAGCATATAGTTCAACTACGGTCAATAAAAGAAGAGAAAGATCAGCTCCAGGTGTTAGTATCCAAGCAAAACTCCATCATTGAAGAACTAGAAAAACAGTTAGTGACCGCCACAGTGAATAATTCGGTTCTCCAGAAGCAGCAACATGATCTGATGGAGACAGTTCATAGTTTATTGACTATGATATCACCATCAAACTGTAAGTCAAGTTTACATGTCATTTTTTCTTCCATTTTCATTGCCACTAATTAGTAAGTGAAACTCTCAAATTTCTAAAAAAAAATGTTATCATTCAGAAAAGGACTATTTCTCTTACATGTTTCATACAAAAGCTTTACAGGGTCTCAACACAGAACCAAATAAAAAGGAGGAAGTGATTCTACTCCTGATTATTTACCCAAAGAATGCAAAAGCACTAATCCAAAAAGATATATGCACCTCTATGTTTACTGCAGCATTATTCACAAAAGCCAGATTAAGGAAGCTGCCAAGTGTCCATAGATAGATGAATAAATAAAGAAGATGTGAAATATATATAAAAGTATACATATACATATATATAATGGAATATTATTCAGCCATTACAAATAATTAAATCTTGCCATTCATGGCAATGTGGATGTCGGTTCCCTTCTCTCAGCTCATCCTTAGATATATTGTGCCTACTTTATTACTGTTTTACCTTTCAATTTCTCTTGGATTTGAGAGGGAGGAAGAGAGGCATCTTCAGTCATTACTTAGAAATGTGGTATATAATCTATGTGGGATTTCCATTTTATGTTTTCTTTTTCTAAAATGAATTGATTCTAGTTCTTACTATGATTTATTTCCTAATGTCCTTTAAACTTGGATTCTTTTGACATAGATACATTTACATATGAATCAGGTGAAGATATTCTTCATTTTCACAAAAAATAGTACATTTTCACATCACCCTCGAGTCATGCAGTTATCTCAATTTTAACAGAAACACTTAGACAAGGAAATGAATAAAAATCGCCCATTCTTGATGATAAGTGGCAGGATTGACACCAGAGGGCCAGTTGCCAATACCTGCCTTCCAACTGGAGATTCACTCTTATCATTTAGAAAAAAGTACTTTTTCACATCCATAGAGAAGGAAAAGGCAATCATCTGACATCTAGTGGGAACGAGATAATGTGAGGTGTTAGCTCTGGTGAGCCAAAGTAGAGAAAATCATGCAGCTCAAATCTCGGCAGAAAAAAACAGCACAGGAGAGAGGGTAACAGAAAAGGGTTTCCTTTTCCCATATGTCTCAAGGTGATGTGAAGATAGAACCTCTGTCCACTTGTGATACCTACCCACACATTTGTGCTATATGCCCATGCTCTGGTGCGTCTCCAGAATGAATACAAATACCTGCAAGAACACACACACACACACACACACACACACACACACACACACACACACACTTTTTTAGGGTAAAAAGGATTGGGAAATCTAAATGTTGACAGCAGAGTAAAAATTTGAAGGATTTTTAGATTTAGAATTTCAAAGACAAAGATAAATTAATGGCTCCTCTTGAACACAAACTATAATGGGACATTTGCTTAAAATCTAAAGAATACTTAAGGTCCTTACCCAATAGTCTAAAGAAATGTATCAAGACTTGACCTCAGATAAAACTGAGGTCAGTTTTAAAAAAGGAGACTTTTTAAAAGTCTTTTTAAAAAAAGGAGAAAACACATCCACAGCCTGGATAAGATCATGGCTGACGGGATATGCCCCGCAGCCACTGTAGAGGGGACACTGTTTGTACATTCTTTTTTTGTTGTTGTTCTTTCGCAATAACTATGTGATTCTAGTCAAGGTGGAAGATTTTTTTTAAGTAATTGTTTACTATAGCTAATTACAAAGTACTTGCATTACATGTTGATGGTAAAAAAAAAAGAAGTATGGATTACTGGTGATAATCTTTGAGAACTAATGCAGAACAGACTAAAGGAGTAATGTTTTTGGAAAGGATAAAAACTGATGTGTCCTTTTTACTTATTATAAGAATTCAAATGTAATAAAACTTAAGTGCATTTCAAAATAATAAACTTGTATCTTTCCATGAACTCTCTTTAAATGCTTTCCTGTATTTTTTTAAAGCACCTAAGGACTCCTTTGTTGCTAAGGAAGAGCAGATCATTTTCAGAGACTGTGCAGAAGTATTCAAGTCAGGACTGACAACCAATGGCATCTATACGCTAACATTCCCTAATTCCACAGAGGAGATAAAGGTATGGTGGTTAGTGTCCTGGTTTCAACTTCCTGGCTGTAAACACACTATTTTAGAAGCAGAGGAACCACACTGCATTTTACACACCCAGACCTTTCCCAACTTCATGCAAAGCAAAGCAACAAACATGTACTGAGCGTCTACCCCACACGGAGTACTTGCCAAGGACTCCAAGTCTAGCCACTGCACACAGATACTGACCGGGCATGTCAATGATGTAGAAATTTCTATCTTATCATCAGAAGACATCTAATTCCTCTTCTCCTTGCATTTAACTTAATCATACTGTCCATCGTTTTCCCTCAAGTGTCAGACTCATTTCATTACTTTTAAAGAAAACGTTCTCCGAATACTAGAGTTCAAATAAACAACTAGTTTGTTTTTCAATTGTTATTTCAAGTAGCATTGGTAATTCCACAAAAAAAAAAAAAAAGTCTCATTTAGCTAACAACTAAAACAGCCACACAAAAGCTTTTCTTTGACACAACCGTGGTACCCTGGTTTGCAAAAGTGATTTATAGACAGTTCACATTTCATTAGACAGCTCGTAAGAGGGCACGTACTCAGCAGTAGAGACTCAATACAATCAATGGTTTTTCCTGCTTTGTCAAGGATGTCCCAAAGCTAAATTGACTTATTTTTTTCCCAGTTGCGAGGGTGTGGCTGAAGCATATAGTGACATGCTCTATTCCCTTGATTCATTGAGGTGCTGGCAGGTCCCCCCACCGGAGGTTCTGTACCAACGGTGTGGACGCTGTCACAGTGTCGAAGGCCAAAAATGTCTTAGTGTCATTACAGTGACACTAAGGAAACAGTGTCAGCCCTGCCAGTGGCTGGCAGCGAGGGCCTCAGGGCCGCCCCAGGAGTCTGCAGGTCACCCCATGAGGATCGCTGGGGTTTGCTACTCTTACCCCACCTAACATAGGCTGGAAGACTTAAAACATACCTTAAAACATACCGTCAAAAGAGAGAGGTTCATTTTCTCCTCAAGTATTTGGAGTTTATTTGAAGGCATAAGCTCAATTACTTTGTGGAAAGTGAATCAACAGCCAGAACTTGCCATCAGGAGAAGATAGTATATAGCTTAGCTCAATTATTCTTAGTATTTTGGATTACTCAGTGAGCACGGCTCCTGAAGTTGCTCTGGGAGACCCTGAGCATTAGATGAGGGGGGAAAAAAATCACACCCCCCAGGGAATATTTCAATGTGGCTTCTCACAGAGGTTTGAGAAGGTAAAATAATACAGGAGATTCAGTGTGAAGCGTTATATAATTATCAGAGGACTGTATTTATATTAACTGTTTACAAATATGTCTGCATCTAACTGTAACTGTTACAAGTTAAACCAATGTAAACAATTACAGAAAAGGCCATCGATACTATATAAAAATGGAAATTTTAGAGGTTCCTGGAACTATTATCTCTTTGAACTCAGTAAGATCCTCAGTATTTAAAATGCTAATAAGAAAAAGCACTTTCAAAATCTAAGCATTAAGGGTTTAGGGACATAGAATTTGAAACAGTAACATATACTTTGATTATGAATTTAAAAGATAAATATTGTGCTATTCAAGACAATACTTTCCAAAGAAAACCCTTCTAATTCATTCATGCTGCTTTAAATCAACCTTGGAAATCAGTTAATGTCCCTGAGTGCCCTAGAAGCAATGCATTAGTGGGGAGGAAAAAAAAAAAAAACATAGTCTGCTACAGATGAGAAAATAATGAACAGATCCTGTATGAAGACTCTCAATCCCCTTTGCAATCTGGTTTTCATAACAATCCTTCGGATACTACTATCTGTCACCAGATGTTGGTCTCTTCTTGGCCCAAAGAAATGGGGACAGGAGTGGCGACAGGAGGAGGGGAGAGGATATCAGTGCAGTGTGAATGTTTTTGCAAATCCAGAGGGCAATCGCCGATCACACAGCACCAACCAACTGCTCTATAAATGTTTTCGTGACTCAGTGCAATGCTCCCACCCCAGAGCCCCATGTCAAAGCCAATGGCCTCTGAAATGTTCTACAGCAAGAGGAAAACGTAGAGCATTGTGGGCCAACGTGAATCTCAGGTCATGGTTGGCAACCTTAGGATTTATGTTTCTTTTAAACATTTGCAGTAAAAATAACTCATGTGCACAGTGGGGAACAACAATCCTACCAAAACTCAAGTTTCTCATCTCTAAAATAAATGGTCCAGATTAAGTGATTTCTAGATTTCCTTCCAGACTTGAGACCCTGGAATTCACCATCTGATCAAGGGAGAGAAAGCCCGAGAGACGTGAGTTTAAATTCTGGCTCTGCCAATTTGTGCCTCTGAGGCACATCATTTACCCTGTGTGAGGCCTGTTTCCTAATCTGTAACACGATGAAGTCACCACAGTCTGACAGAGCGATTTTGAGGTGACCATGGCCATCAGCTCTTAGGACAGGTCTTACTACTTAACCAGCTACTCGATAACTGAACTGTTTACCATTTTGACTGCCCCCAAGGACTATGAGACGGCTTCTCTGCATGACATCTCTGCAGCCATCTTTGCCCTGTTTCATCTAACTCAGGAAAAGTGCGTTCAAGACATCTTTGGGCCGACCTTTTCCAAAGGGGCTTACGTATTTCAGCTTTATTTTTGAAAAATTCATTATGTTTCTGCAAAAGATAAAAACAAAAACTGCATCAAGGGCATTTGAGTTTGTTTCTGCTGGTCAGAGACCTAATAATTTCATTTCCCTAAATTTCACAGGGTATCTGTCTCCTGGTGTTTATCTGTGTGATTACTGTTTCATCAGCCATTCTCCATGGCCTCAGAGCCGAAGCATGACACTTAAATCAAGCATCATCCACTAAAAGAATTCAAGTTTTAGAGAGCAAGCTATCAGGTCCCTGAACCATGCAATAGTGTGCTAACAAAAGCATTAGCTGCCCTGGGGTTGGTCGTAGCTGGAGCGGTGAGGTCTTGGGCACTCTCTGAGGAAGTCTGCTTTCCTGATCCTGAGATAATCCATTTCATCATTTTCACTCAGTGCCCTCTGGCTACGTGGACAACTCTCTTTGAACACTATCTTCCTCTGAAAGTTTCACGACTCAGTTAACCATGATACTTTAGTTTCTATGAACTCTTTGTTCTTTTTTCTTTTTAAGAGGAACAAAGAGACATTAAGGAAACGTTCTAATCATCTCCTCCTTGTCCCTGGTGGAGTTAGGGAATAGTGCAGCTCAACCCATTTTCACGTGGGCGGTGGAAATGTCCAGTCTGGACTCTGATTTTCACACCAAGACAAACTACTTCTCTGATTTAAGTGTTCATGATACTCGATGATGGTGATGTTGACAGCAAAAAATCAAATATTCTGGGAACAAGGATAGGCTCGCTAAAAACCATATCCGGTCTTTCCACCCACCAGCATGCCATTTAGGATACAGAGGAAGTAACTTGTCTGTACACACATAACTCCTCAAGCCAGTATAGCTTACTCAGCTAGTTTACTAAACGAATTTTCTTTTAGGAGACATACTGAGAGAAGTGAGCAGTACTGATCATTGGGTGGACCACAGGCAAATAAGAGGCAGTATTATTCATGAACTGATTTCAAGTTGGAGCCGTGTTGAGGGCAGTTCTGGCCTATTAACAAAAGGGTCAAGTTTCTTTGTTTCTGGCAGTCTACTATGGTGTTTAAAAAAAAAAAAAGGTACAGAATGAGGAATTTAAGAGACCTTACTCGAGTCCTATATTCCACCTAATAGCTGAATGACTCTGGTCAAATTAACTTTACTGAATCTTTTCACTAAATCTTTTCTCCTTTCAGAAATGCAAAATTACACTGTCACAGCAGAATTGCTTCAGGATTGCTGATAATATATGCAGGGTACCCACTGCAGTACTTGGAACAGAGTGGTGCACAGCAATCATAGCAAGATAATTAATAATAATAATAATATCAACACAGGGAGATAATAAGGGGTCACCTTAGGCAGGTCAATATTATTTGTCTGGTTAATTTAAAATGGGGAAATTATTTTATCCTTAAGAAATACAATCTTCTTTAATGGAACATGTGCTCCCAAATGTGAGGATCATCAGGGAAAGCAATATGGGCCAAGGGACTTTTGTGGAAAGAGATGGGAAGAGCAGTGGATAGAAATCTGCTGGAGAAGAGGGTTCTGGGTTCCAAGGGCAGCTCTCTGTCCCGTTAGCAATGAGACATCAGGCAAGGCTTTGAAAATGAAACACTAGGTCTAGGTATGCTCTTGCTTCTCTTTTACTCGCAAGATTTTAACTCACAAATGCAGAAGAGTTCACATTTAAACTTACTCTGCCAAAATTTTCTCCATTATTTCCCAAAAAAGACTGAGGAAGACAGCCGAGGAAGACTATTTCTAATTGGTTTTGAATGATAACTTTTGTATTTAATACCTTGTATGCCATAGGAAAATTTATCTGAACTTTCTGGGAGAATTTTTTGTTCTACTCTAATCTCATTATTTATAACTATTTATGTAATCTTATTTGCAGGAGTTTCTAATTTCATAATAAAACTCCAGCTGAGTGGAAAGTGAGCATGCATGCTCCTGGCCCAAGACAGAATTCTGTGTTCTGAACAAAGTTTAAACCCACCAAGCCAGTTTGAAAGCAAAAACTAAAAAGAACTAGGAAGAGAAATACCATGGGCAGTGAGCAAAGTGCAAAGAAGCTTGAAGTCATGATCTGAGGGGTAGAGCTACCAGGTGACACTCAGGTCACATACACCACCCTGGGTACACAGGAGCCTCAGATCTCTCACACTGAGGGTCGAACCGAGAAATCTGACTTTTATCCCACGTGGAAGAACCTCGTAACCCCACAGCATAACATAACAGGAGTCTTGGAAACCCTACAGTGCAAAAGTACTCTTTCTACCCAACTCTCTATGGAGTTGATAGGGACTGACAACTATCATAAAGGTCTCTGGAGTTGTGAACACCAGCTGGTAGATTTTTGCAGGTTGGAGATGAGGTTTGGAACCAATCCACCAAGATGCCCCAATTGCAATAAATCTCTAAGAAACAGCGATTTTTGGGTCAGCGATTGGGGTGGGTCTTTAGCCTAGAAGAGACGATGACAAGAAAGTCATATTCTCATCGATGCTGAAATCATGTTATATTACTGTTTATTTTTCATCATCATTTTAAACTCCTGGTTTTCAATTTATTTAAAACCATCTGCTTCTTGGAGGACCACAAAGATTTACCCTGGGGAACCCTATCAGCACAAGTCATATTATAGGTATCCACATGTGTCTTGTTTCTGTGAGTTCAGATGCAGACCTGAGTCACTGGTGTTTCCCACGCAGTAATTGTGCACTTCCCATTGGCAGGCATACTGCGACATGGAAACCTCTGGAGGTGGGTGGACGGTCATTCAGCGGCGTGAAGATGGCAGTGTTGATTTTCAGAGGACTTGGAAAGACTATAAAGTGGTATGAATATTCTTTAAGCCATCTGAAAATAATTTTCTTTCTGAAAACTAACTTTCAAGATCTGCAGGCCCTGCACCACAAATCCAAAACTAACCAATGACTGTTGACAATTTTTGTTATCAAAACGTTCCTTTTAACTGTTGTTTCAGTCTCCCCACTAACGAATGACCCTGTCAATGTAAAGTAAACTATATATCAAAACAGAGGCATGCAAGTGTGAGGCTTATTTTTAATGGCAGGCTCAGCGTTTTTCGGTAAGCCAACAGTTTCACAGAGCTTCACATGTCAATAAACTGAGCTGTTTACACTCATGTTTCTATTGGTGATTTCCCCAAGTAGTTCTAATTACTCTAGTACTAATTTTCTTCCAGTAGAAGCTTGTCTTTTTTAAAAAACTGACCTTTGGAAAAACCTACTTTCTTATATAGAACACCTCAAACTTTCAGAGAACAGGGAAGTATTTAAACTGATTGACTATTGATTTCAAATAAGTGAAGAAAAAAAATAAATGAGGTGATTGAATTTTACAACTTGGATTATAGGGATTTGGGAACCCTTCTGGCGAACACTGGCTGGGAAATGAGTTTGTTTTCCAAGTGACCAATCAACAGCCATATGTGCTTAAAATACATCTTAAGGACTGGGAGGGAAACGAGGCGTACTCGCTGTATGAACATTTCTATCTCTCCGGTGAAGAACTCAATTACAGGTGAGTTGTGTGTAACTAGAAAACATTAATAGATTTGCTGGGTGAGCATTCCAGAAAGTCAGAGCCCCACTGCATCGACCAGGATCAGAAGTACTGTGAGGATACCTTAAACGGAGGAAACCTCTCGTTCCTCAGCATTCCATGTTGCCTTTTGGGAAGCTCCTCTAGCCTGAAGATTCTAACTTTGGTTTTAACCATATGAGGGGAAATTCACGAGGACAGCATCTTGTTTGCTGTCTCTGTCTTGTATCCTCAAAGCCTGGCACATAACAGGCATTCAACAAGTATTTGTAGAACATGTAAAGGTTGTGTCCCTATTATAAAAAGTTATGCCGATGTCACAATGGAGGGTATACCTGTGACTAGACGGTTTTCTTCCAGAAGGTTTTAACACTTAAATCTATCTTTCTGCAGTTAAAGTACACTCAATTGTCAAGTTCCATCCCCAAATCAGGGTGAGTTACCAAGTCTAAAAGTGGCAGACTTAGGTGGGTTAGTCATGCAACTCCTTTACTCTCCACCATAGAAACAACAGCCGAGTCACAGCACTCCCTTAGTGTTTGTCTTGCCCCACGCATTTGGCGGCGCTTATCCTGAATGTTCCAAGAAAAGCATGGGCATCCTTGACTCAGAATTTAGTTTCTGGCTATAAAGCACCATGAGAGTAGAGGCGGAGAGCAGCACAGGCATTGAGAGGCCGGTGCCTGACGAGTGACCTCACGGCAGGTAGGGTAAAAGCACCTACCTGCGCGTGGTATCACGGACAGAGGTACCTGGAAACCCATGTGCGACGCCGCAGGGAGAACAGTGAGATCGTGTGCCAGGTGGCACCGCAGGAATTGGTCTCAGGAGGCACTGAAGAATTGTTCAATCACCAACACAGGCCTGCAGGAGTCTGAAGAGCACAGGCATGCACATCATGAAAATACCTACACTCGAGTCAGAAATAAAGTTCCACCGAACATCGCAGGAAACAGTCCTTGTGGGGCCTTGAGTCCCACCTACATGTCATTCATGCCCAATTCAGCCCCTCTGCACCATAGAAAATCCAAACTCTGAACAGCTTAGAAAATACACATGATTTCCAAGTCCCTGAGCTGGCTTCTTTGGGGTGGAATCTACAATGAAAAGCACAGAAAAACAGCGACTGCTTTATAAACGGGAGGGTCAAAATTCTGAAAGTTTTGAAGACAGGTAACGAGACAGTACAACAAGTAATGACATGACTTCTGAAAAGTCAGTGAGACAGAGCCCATCGGTTCTCATAACAGAAAGAGCAGGGCTCCCTTGAAGAGAGAAGGACGCAGATGAATGAAAAGATAGATATTTGGGCCTCCCTGCAGCTCCAAGTTGACTCCAAAGAGATCAAAACTTCAATGAATTTTTAGGCACGAGTGGTTGGTCATTGTTTTACCTCCAAGCTAAATATTGTTTCAACTGGCAATAGTTAGGAATCTACAACAGAGGAATTAAAAAAAAAAAAAAAAGAAGGAAAGAAAGAAAGCAAGAAACACAAAAATTAAGGATTAGACTGTTTATATAAGGAGATTTTACAAAATGGGTCATTAGCCTTGTATGCTGACATTATAAAAATGTTTTAAACTGAGATAGTTTTTAACAGATACTTCCTTTAGAAATGCGATCAGTTTCGGGATATGCCATTTAAAAAAGCACACATTCATTTAAAGCTCAGTTTAATTTACTTGGCAGCATAGGGCAGATACTACATCGAAACAATGATTGTCCCAGAAAAACATGGTGGTGACAAGCAGGCGGTGACATGGCTGAGCAATACACAGGGGTCTCAGAATGCCACTGTTTGTAGCCATGGAGTTGAGTTTTTTTCCCAAAAGAAATGTTCCCCAAATGCTGGAAAACCAAAAAATAAATGTCAAAGGGAAAGGATAAATGCATCGACAGATTTTTTTTTTTTTTTTTTTACTAAAACTAAAAACTGTTTGATACTATATTAAACCTTAAAGACTGGTGGCAGCTCTATACAAATGTTCAGATTTCATTATTCAATGCTGGCATTGCTTCTTTCACTCCACTCTTCTATAAAGTCAACTGATAACCAACATAAAGCAATTTCAAGAATGTGGTTATTCTTAAGAACCAAATTTAAAAGAAACCCACTATAAACCAGGGGGGCCATATAATAGAAGGATCTAAAAATCATACAGCCCTTCTCAGAAACACAAAGAAAACATGGCGTACTCTCTGATTCTGCTCGCCTTCGTGGAGGTTTAATGAGTCCCACGAGAACTGACATTGTTGTAAAGGAGAGAAGAGGCTGGAAAGGGGGAAGGACAAGTAGAGTGGTTTATCTGGATGCTATCTATGATTAACGAGAAGGGCCTGGAAAGAAACCAAAGTGTTTCAAAATCCCAGAGATGAGTAGAATGTATATAAATGCTTTGCAGCAGGTAATGAGAGACTGTGCTAGGGGCCAGGGTCGTTTTTGAAACGTTGAGAACACTGAAATTCAGAAATTTATGATGCCTTATGATGGGGGTTCTAGAGCTACAATACTAAAAACAATCTTAAATCTAAGTCAGTAACGCTAAAGTAGTTTTAGAACCAAAAATTTATGGAACTCCGCTTGGCATGCTCTGTACTCCCATCTTTTCAGAACCATTCCCTCAATAAACAAACATCCCTGGTAAGTGTCTACCAGGGTAGAACCATAACACAGGAGTTAGGAGTGTGGTAGAGCTAGAATTTGCACCGGATTCATCTATCTCGAATCTCAACAATTTGATATGTAAAAACAGGAGGAATGCCTGCCTCTCAGGGCTGGTGCATGCGCTCCACGAACACATCCATGAAAGTGCCTGGTACAGTCTGGTTAGAGACAGTCCCCAGCGAACCTTCCCTCTCTTCTCTACCCTCTGTTCCAACACGAATGCCTGGAATTTATATGATCATTTCAAGGAAGTGGTCAGCAAGAGAAGAGCATCATTTTGGGGACCTGAGGTAAAATTCTCCCTCAGATGTTGCAGGGTTTTGTTTTATAGGATCCCCAGGTCACGAAGACTCAACCAGCTGGGCTCGCCCACTACCATCCTCCATTGCCAACACGGTAACATCACATCCTACACAGCCACACACGGGCGTGTGAAAAACCCTCCTCTGGGCCATACTGTGCCAATCTGCCAATGGGCCTTCTTGAAGCAGTGTTAACACACTTTCTCTTTCCCTTCTACCTCTCTCCTTGGCACCCAGATCACTGATGCAAGCCAGATTTTGGCAATCTTCTAAAAGTATGGGCTATTATCTGATGTCTAACTTAACATTACGTTTATTCCTTTCTCAATATCCAGCAAGTTTATTACAATACCATATAGAAATGAGGGTGTATTTTCTATACAGTTCTATAGATTTCTATTCCAAATTCAATGATCCTTCTGTGCCTACAAGGCTTCCCATCCCTACCACTCCACTGAAAATAATGATGCCTGAAGTTGTCTCATCTTCTCAGGGCTCTCATTTCTGTATGGATGATGCCGGGAGACCTGGAAAGAGGACCCTTTCACGTTGTATTTTCCCCTCTTCTGTTTATCTGAAAACAGCAGGGAAATAAATGAAAGGGCCCTGAAGCCTGCTAATGCTTGTGTAAGTGAGATGAGCTGAAGATTTCACGAAAACATTCCTCATTGCCTAAGGATTTGATGATAAGTTGGTTCCTGTTTATACCAGTACAAAAATATTTTGTCGGGAGTGTGCATTAGTACACCAACCAGTACAGAACGCGTATCTGCAGAATGGAATTCTTCATTATAAAAAATTTTCCACTACGGTAAATCAACAGCCCAAGCCAATTACGTTATTTTCTTTTCTTTTTTTCTTTGCATGCTTGCAGGATTCACCTTAAAGGACTTACAGGGACAGCCGGCAAAATAAGCAGCATAAGCCAACCAGGAAATGATTTTAGCACAAAGGATGCAGACAACGACAAATGTATTTGCAAATGTTCACAAATGCTCACAGGAGGTGGGATGACTTTTCTCTCTTCCTATTTGTTTTGGCAAGGAAGAATTTCATAGAGTGAAAGGTTGGCCATTTGGACTTGAACTTGTGATTGGTGACAATGTCCACATTTCATAAATAGACTTACTAGATGTAGGGAGATTTGTTTTTCACTTTTTCAGACTGTTGAGTCTTAAGAATGTGATGTTGAGCTAGAATTGTCAGCAGGCCAACTGTGTCTCTTCAGGACCTCACTCTGGCACAGAGAGAAACATCTGATATCCAGTAAGCTCTCTTGAGCTTATGCACGTTGAGTAGCAGATGTCAGAGCCATGCTTTAATTTCATTTTACTTTATTAAAAAGGTTAAAATTCAAAACAGCGACTGAAACAGTGACCTAGATTCATTAACACAAAAGTGTTTCTAATTAATAACTCACTGTTCAAAACACGGAATTTGCAGTTCTCTTTCTTTAGAGATTTCATTTATACACAGCAAATACTTACAAACACAGAGATACTAATTAACCTGATTTTTTTAAGTGTGCCAAGTTAAAACAGTTGTCCAATTTAAATTAATGTGTTTATTCTCATGCTCTCCTCACTCCCTACCTTTCATGTCAGACTGCTTTAAAAAATAAAAATGGAAACCACACCCAGAAGCGAGAGACTATTTTAACAGTCACTTAAAATGGCCAGATTAGTATCCAGCAACATTTAAGAGCTCAAGGACAGGAACCAACTGCTAGAAAATCCACCCTTCTAATTTCTAAAAGTTTAAAAATTGAACGGCCAGAACTAGTTAATTGTAACTGAGACAAGAAAAAAAGCTTGACAAATGCTATCAAGCGAGTTCTTAAAAATACTGAAAGACTTAAACCAGCAACGAAAATTCTGCCGACAGGACAAACTGAATGTGAAGGCAAACAGGAAGTTAGCAGGGTTTAATTTGTAGAGGCCATAAATTCTATTACCAAAAATTCATTCATTACTCACCCAGGAAAGACAAAGGTAAAGACAAAGAGCTGTCATCAATTTATTTGACAAATATAAGGTAACTACATAAACAAGATCTAAGCTTATCATGTGTTTGCATTCCAGTTAAGAATCATTTACGGTCAAGAGAAAGGATTTTATTTATTTATTTATTTATTTATTTATTTATTTATTTATTTATTTATTTATTTATTTATTTATTTATTTATTTATGAGACACAGAGAGAGAGCTAGCTAGCTGAGACACAGACAGAGGGAGAAGAGGCTCCCTGTCGGGAGCCCAATGTGGGGACTCGATCCCTGGACCCCGGGGTCACCACCTGAGCCAAAGGCAGACGCTCAGCCACTGAGCCACCCAGGTGCCCACAGATAGGATTTACTTATGAGAATAGTTTGAAACTCAGTAATTTTCATGTCTTTAAAATAACACTGAAAGAATTAGAATCCATTACAAAAAAAAATCAGTCCTGTGGCTTTTTAGATAATTTATTTATAGGTACCCACATAATCTATCTTGGCAACACAGGGCTTCTATCAGCCATAGTTTTTCAATGATTATTTCAATGAGAGAAACCTGTTACATTGATTGTAGAAAAGCTGCTATCTCCCTCATTCTACCATAATCATCCTTTTTGAAGTCAACAATAAGGGGAAAAGGGGTGGGTTGGGGGGACCAAATGTACCAAATCCTTTTTTCCCATCTGCCATTCCCACACTGAGCCCAGCTGTCCACTCGACAGGGCGGTGGTTTTCAGACCACCCATATGTCATGAACTACTCAAGAGAGTAGGAGAAATGCATTAATAACCAAGGAAACAATATATTTATTTACTCAAATCAAGATTTAGGGCTGAGAGTAGAAGTGGGAAAGAGACTGGGGAGAAAAACACAGCCCAAGAGAGAAGTGGAGCCGTCCTGACCATAAGGAAATCAGGTTCCAACCCGTGGTCTGGGCCCAGGGTAACAAGCCTGACGATCAGATCAGCTATATTTTTGCACGGACAGCAAATTCTATAGTTACATCAGCCAACAGGCTCCAGAACAGAACGGATCTATAAATCCATAATATCCCTGAATATTTTGAAGGATTCTAAATAACACGCACAAATGTCCTATCAAGTGAACATTAATGTGAATCAGCTCAAGTCATGAACTGTAACTGGATGAAATAATTGGTCACAGTCCAATATGTAAATATAATAAATATAATCACTACATTAAAATATTTTTTTGTTTAAAGAAATAAAACTACACAGATATAACTGAAGCTGTCCTGTCAATACCTGCCCCTGGGGTGACCAGTGAATTCAGGTTTATTCACATTAGTTATTTATTTCACTAGGTATGCAGATATTAGTAACAGTTGTTTTTTCCCCCATATTCTAAAATCTTACATAAATGGCATCATACTGCATGTGTACTTGCAACACAATGTTTCTAAAATTTATTTAGACTATGTAGATCTAGATCATTCCTTTTCCCTGAAAACCAGGGCTTGGGGCCCACTCCTGTTTCTAGGGAAGAGCATTAAAACCCCAAGCGTGGTCATTTAGGTGTAGCTGTGGGACCCACGCCCTGCCCCTGCTGCTGCACCAGGCAGCTCCCTCACTTTACGGAGCAAACCACAATAGCTTTAAATCTCCTTTTTGTCTCTAGGACTTAAAGATGATTTTCTTTCATCTAACTCCCCTGAGTAGTTAAAATTTGGAGTCATTAAAAAAAAAATGTCTGGTAGGAGGAGGGAAGCTGAATAGTCTGGCTCACTAAGTTGTTGGAATCCACTGAGAGTCATCCAACAATTCTTCAGTGTTATGACTTATCCGTGCCTTCCATCGTACTCTGGTGGTCACCACATCGGGACCAGGGAAGACGTGCCATGCACATCTATGGGTGATGGTCTTCCCACGCTCACGCAGGAAAAGGAGCAAAGCAGCCCATAGGAGCCTCTGCCATGTGGAGCTAGGATTTAACTTGGGTAAGGCTGGAAACCTTACCGCTCATCTGTCAGTGCGGCACACTCTTTATGCACGAATATTTGCATGAGTCTACTTAAAATGCACGGAATGCAACTGGAGGATTAGTCAAGTGTTTCTAAGGCCATGCTGAGATGGAGTTAGGGTTACCAAGTTCCTAATTCCTTCTGCGTCTTACTTTCACAGGCTGGTGGTTTGATGCATGCGGCCCCTCCAACTTGAACGGAATGTACTACCCGCAGAGGCAGAACACAAATAAGTTCAACGGCATTAAGTGGTACTACTGGAAAGGCTCAGGCTACTCGCTCAAGGGCACAACCATGATGATCCGACCGGCGGACTTCTAGGTGCCTGCACACACCGGAGGAGTGCTAGGTGCCAAGACCTCAGCCCGAAGCTCAAAAAGCCCAGGCTGCGTCAGTGTCTCTTCCACCTCAAACAGGTGGCGTGCGCGCGGGTGCACCGGGATCCACGCGCTCCAGCTGAGAGCCCCGCAGACCTCCTCACTCAGGCCTGCACCACACAGGCCCCAAGCGCAGCCCTGGTATTGTGACCCAGCAGAACGCCTATGGCAAGATAAACCTAAGCCCGCGAATTTAAGACTGACAATTTACAGACTCTGATGTCACAACCAAGAATGTTGTGTCGAGTTCATCCGTAAATAACTGGAAAACAGAACACTTAGGCTATACAGTAGAGATAACCTTGGAGCTACATTTTTCTCAGTCCTGTTTATGGATTGTGTAAATATCCATATGTCCTGAATTCAGCATCACTATCATAACTGAAAGGAAGAAAAAAAAAACACTAAGCCATAAAAATATATTATGTATTCAGGGATTTTCTGGGAAGTGCTTATTTGCAGTTTAATATTTGGAGAAGGAAAAAACATAGTTAATGCATTTTCACTCCTCCTCTTAGGTGCTTTAAACTTTCATCCTGAAATCAGCATATTTACGAATGTGTTGACAGCGTAGATTTAAGTGAATGCTCAAATATGTATTCCAAGTTTAAATGGTGAAAACTTCCAGGATCTCTGAAATTACAGAAATGTGTGTTCTTTCAGTTTATATGGAGATTGTACTATTTTTTTTTTCTGCCTGGCTGTTAAATATAAAGGTATTTTTAGTAATTAAATATAACTTATTAGATAATTACATTTAACCTTTACGATAATATTTACGATTTTGTGATTTGATTGTGCTAATAACAAGGAAAGATCTGTTTTTTAATGATGAAGAAAATTATACATTTAATTCTATAACAAAGAGACTTTACCATCTTTTCCTCACTATTCTATTACAAAGGTCTTTTATTTTCTCTTCTAGTAAGATATATTTTAGGGAAGTAAGCTATAGTTTAGTTTGTGGTTGAAAAAAAACCTTCTATTTAAAGCACTTACAACCTATACTTCTCAGACTAGATTTACCCCTAAAGGTATTTTTTTTTAAATGTCCATCAGCAAATTAAAAAAAGAAAAAGAAAAAGAAAGAAACGCATTTTGGAGTGCAAAACCAAAATCTGATGCTTATAGTAGATTCAAATCTTTACAGAAAATCTTGAGAGTATGGATTTAAGCTCAGGGCTGCAAAACTTTAAACCCCTAGAGTTTTAACTCCATTTGAAGTTTTCATAGTACAATTAATACTAACATACATTGTGTAAAACTTTATAATTTGCAAGTAATTTCTCACGTATTTGCCTTGGAGTCAGCTGCTGCTGGAAGCTGAGGGCCAAATTTGAAACCAGCATTTACCTCATGTCTGTCTTCACTTTATACTGTTCTACCACTATGTTTTTCTCGTTATTTCCATTTTTCTTGTGTAATTTACTTTACCACTATACACCCTCGCCCCAACTTCATTTGAGAACGCTTACGTTTGCTGCATGTTTCAAGTCATTTTATGGACTCCAGAAGAGTCAGGCACACCACTTTCTCCACCACTTGGCTGTGCTTCCTCAACGAATGTGTTAAGTAAAGAACCTCCCCATCTTTGAATGGGTCTCTCTTTTTACAGTTAAGCACAGTTTATAAATTCAACAGAGGTAGCACAGCTTGGTGTCAAGTTTAAACATTATCTGGTAATAAGATAGCTCCACTGCAAAAGAAACCTTATGTTTCTGTGATGTCTCAATGACCACACAGCAAACACTGAAATGGAGAAATGATATGATAGGACAAACTGGCAACAACATACTTGATACCATGTGCCCACACAGACAGGTAAAATGCATTTCAAAGACAAGCCTCACGTGTTACATAGAATTACATGTACTCTCTGATGACAGAGAGTAGGGGGGATTTGCGTCTTTGCACTCCAATTCCTTACATGATATATCAAACAGAGTCTTGCCAACAGGAATGTTTTCTCTCCTTAAGAAAATCTTTATAAAGTGTAGAGAAAATCAAACCAATAATCTTAAATATGAAAACAAAAGCAACCTCACAATCTAGATAACTCAGTAATAAAGGGCAGTGTCCTACACATAATGAAACAGCAGATAACATCAGCCCCAGTCACAGATAAAAATCACCACTTCACTTTCAGGTATTGATCTTCCAAAAGAATAAATTGTATCACAAACCAGTTAACTTTTTTGAAAATGAAAGCCAACATCTACACAATCCTGCTTCCAAGTAAGCCTGAAATTACCTATTTAATTATTAATCTTTAAAAGAAATTGGAACCTCCATAAGCATTTGAAATATTTAAAATTTAAAATTCAGCAAAGTTGAAGTTGATTTTGGAAGCTGATTTTGGAAAAAGTATCAGAACAAAGGACTGTATCATGTTGCTAGCCGGCCATGACTTTTATACCTATCAATTCTATCTTTATGAGCAGTAACAGCTTTATTTCTTAAAGCAGCAAACAAGATATCATACCACCTCCTCAAGAATCTAGTCCTTTTTCATTTTTTTGTTTTTCTCAAGGACTTTCATAATTAAAATTCTTTAAGATTTCATTCTGCAGAATTTTTTTTGCAGAATATCTCACGTTCCCACATTTTCTCTCACAAATAGATAAAAAAAGTATTATGAAAGATCTATAAAATGTGTTTTTAACTGTGAGCATACTTGGTTTTGACTTAATAAAAACTTGAGTCTGTATCTATGCAAATAATAATTTCCTGAAAATTCCAAGTTGTATTTACCATAATAAAATAACATCTGACTTACAGGAGCTGCAGGGAAGTAGTTAGAAAGTTCAAACGGTTCCTCGGAAATCCAGTGACCCATTTCCAAAGACCACAGTACCTACAAGTGACACAATAAAAAGAACATTTATTATAGATTCATTAGGCTCTCAGTGGATAATAAACCACTTTGAAGAGATGGCCAAAACAAAACAAAGAAACCAGCAGTGACTATGCACTCCATAGATCTGAAGCAGATGTATCTTAAATACCAAGTACCATAGAGTCTTCATGTTGAATCAATCTTATGAATCATAAATGCTTCTTTAAGAAAAAAAAGTTTCACAATGATGAGAAATCTGGGTTATTATCTTAGTGAGGCCAACTACTAAACACCACCCCAATAATAAACATATGAAATACTTTTTTAAGAATTCCAAGTTTCCAATTTAAGGAATCATTATTGACAATCCTCAGTAAATATTCCAGGATTTTATTAATAAAAAAAAAACACATTTATTAGGAGAAGATAGATCATAAGTTTAAATTAAAAAAGCAGCCCTTCTGACATGTGACTTTGTTTCTAACATGGACTAATATTTTCAGAAGTTCTCCTAAAGCATTTGAAAATCCTTCCCTGACTTTGGAAGGATAAAATATTTCATAAACAAGCTTTCTGTATTTTTATTATTGTTATTTGAACCCACATATTTTAAATGATCAAAATGATGTTTTTGTTTTTAATTCAACAATGTTCAAGATTCTACAGTCATCTCCACTTGATGACCAAACTCCCTGAAAATCTGTTTCTATTTCCATGAACCAATAGAATTATACAACAAAAATAATCAAACTGAATTACATATCCCATATTTATTTTTCATCTGCAATTTCATTTCTTACATTCGGTGAATCCACTCTCTTTTCTAGAGCAGCTACATAAAACAAGTTCATTCTGCTGAATTACTGGGGATGAAGAAAGGAGTTTTCCTGTTTGGTAGTTTCTAAGATTCAGACCCATCTATGGGAGCTTGGTCTTAAATATTTCCTTTTTTATATAATGAAGCTAATACTTATCCAACATGAGTGAGTGAGCTGTACTTCATTTCTAAGAAAAATGAGCATACCAGTGGAATAAAGACAGTAACAAGACACAGAATCTGAATGACAATTTCCAGCACCGGTCTGGATCTTACTTTAAAACTGATGCATTTATTCACTCAACACTGTTCTCTTCATTTCACTATCCACTCATCTGTGAACAACGTGTTGAGAGCCTCCTGTGAATAAGAACCCATGCTGGGTCCTAGAAACACAAACGCAATCCCAGAGGAGTTCACCCTCTGGCAGGAGGGCATGAAGACAAACCACAAATGGTGATTTCCCAAAACAGTTCTGTGGGAACCTATAGAAGAAGGAAACTAACTCAGTCTAGGAGAATCAAGGAAGGGTCCACAGATGAGGTGACATTTTAAGCAGAGTCTTAAAGGATGAGTAAGAGTTCATCAGGCAACGACAGAGAAAATGGGGAGGGGAGAGGACATTCCACCACAGAGAATGCTATAAGCCAAGGCAGGTTTAAAGTGGGCTCTTTTTTTTTTTTTTTTTTTTTTGCTAAGGGTGCTTTGGAAGAAGAAGTAAGAAATTCGGGTTGGTTAGATTCCTAAGTAAGGTATAACAATATACCCTGTTTCTATCCCTGTGTGCGCAAGGGCATTAGCACATGGCCAAAGAAATGCTGGTTGACAGAATCAGAAGACAATTCAGAAAAGACAAGAGAAAGAGCTCTGAGGGTGCTGGGCCCCGGGTGACAGAATGGGAATGTAGTATAATGCAGGGCAACGTGTCTTCACTATAGAGAGAAGAAGCAATGCAGTGTGTTCCCAAAGACCCTATTCCTTCTTCACTTAGATCTGGTGTATAAGTGAGCATTTTGTCAGTTAAGTCTGTTTTTGCTTTCCCCTGATTTTACTGTCTAACCAATATAGATAGACATATACATATATATGCATGCACACACACACAATACACACATATATATCTTCATAAGATCAATGAAAGAGGGTATGAAAATAAATAGTACACCGAAATCATGTTTCTTCCTGGCTCTTCAGAGGTGGTTAAATCATTTAAGTAACACAAGGTTTACCTTACGGAGAGACACTAACAACACATGTGTGGTTCCTTACAAGTCTGTGATTAGCCCAGGAAGTAAAATGTAAAACGTTTCAAAATCAGGTTCATTTCAGGCATGAGGCAATGTGAAAGAATTAGAAAGTGAGAAACATAATGTACCAGGGAGAGAATCCAAGAAGCCAGTCTTAAAACTGCGTGTGGCATTTGAGTTCCAATGTAGTCCACATTAAAATGTCAAGAGAGCCTCCTGGAGAAAATTTATGCTCTCTGAGCTTGTCCCTTTCTAAATGTTATAAAAATAAAACCATAAGGCATCTAGAGAAGAATTTTGCTAAGTGAATTAATAAAGTGAATTTAGGTAGGCATCCCAAGAATTAATACTGGACAGGGATAACAGAAAACATTAATTCGACTGTAACAAAATCATCAAATCAGAAATACAGTGCAAGCTTTCTGCTTTAGTTCTTTCATTAGCCAAAGTTATCTTTAGTAGTGTTACATATTGAGAAAATCTACTCTGCAAGATCACAGTTAAGGCCCTAAGTGAACTAAAAGTTTAACCCATCATACTTCCCATCGTATATGTGATAGAATAAAAATAACTAAGATGCTAAATAAAGTTAGAAATTAGGTTGCATAAATACAGAGGATCAAATTCCATGTTTATAGCCCTTAGCATGAGGGCTGAGTTAGTTCAGCATTCACTGAGAATGAATATAATATTTTTGACATTTTAAAACTGTCATTCATAAAACGTGCTGTTGATGAATCTAAATAGAAACTGCTTGTCTTATTATTAGATTAACAGCTACTGACGAGACAAATTTCCACAATGTAGGCGTGACCAAGCAGTTAATTCCATACCAGGCAAAACACAAATGGTCTTC